AAAAAAAAAAAGACAAATTTGTTATTTTGGCAATTTTTTCTATTTTGATATTATTTTGATCATATCTTTAAGATCAAAATCAGACTTTCAACTTAGAACCCGTTTGGTTAGAGGATTCGTTCTCTGATTCGAATCATGGTTCATGGTTCGTTATAATATTTTCTCTCATAAAAAATACACGTAAATAAAAAATGGTTCTAATCTCATGGTTTTAATCCATAAACCAAACGGGCTCTAGTCTCTGTTTGTTTCAAGAGTTCTGACTTGATTTAGGATCATAATTCTTGATTTGCTATAGCATTTTTCTCTTATAAAATATTTAAATTTCAAAAATCAAAATCATTAATCATAGTTCTAAACCCTCATAACAAACGGAGAGACTCGGGGCATGTTTAATTCGTTGTTTCGAGTTTTTAATTCGAGTTAAAATGTGAATTTATGTGAAAACTTTTTATTATAGTAAAAAAGTTAGATGTGACTGTTTTTGAGAGTTTTTTATTGCAGCAAAATTCAAATTTGAAACTCAAATCGGTGAAATGAATGGACCTTAGTGTTAAAATTCGTGGTGGAAAGGCCATTTACGGCCGAATTTTGTGATTTTTAGAATTAATGTACAATAAAGAGACAGAAGCATCATGAATAGAACCTTAAGTTAGAGGAGCTTTATCAGACGAATGGATATTACATTTTAAAGATCATGCAACAAAGTGTTACAATAAGTATAACTCGAGGAATTTTTGTAATTATCAATTTTGTTTATACTTTTCATTCATTTATTTTATTATTATTATTTTTTTATTTTTTGTAATTCATATCCTATTCATTCATTTATTTATTTTGTAATTCTTGCTCAGCATACTTCATTCTAGTAAATTATGGCAATGTTTCCTTAGGTCTCATTCATTTCACCAATTCAAGTTTTGCTACAGTAAAAAACTCACATATAAAATCACATCTCAACTCGAATTAAAAAATCGAATCAGCAAACTAAACGGGCCCTTAGTGTTGAAAGTCGTCAATTTGGATTACTTGTAAAAATTTCTTCTAAATTATACCCATTATAATACTTTGCCACTAATTTTTAAAATGCAACATATATTCATTTTGAACAATAAAATATTAAAGCCACCCCCTACCACGTTAGATTTTTTTAGCAAAAATTAACATTTAATTTATTATTTTAACTATTTTAGTAACTTTATAATTTAAAATTTAGTTTGAGTTTAAAACTAATTTAAATTTAAACTTTTAATTATGATACATTTATTATTGATTAAATATAAGTTAAAAATTTTATAAATCTTTTTGGTAGAATAAAAAAATTTAAAGGTCTTTTTTAATATTTAAGTTATTTTAAATTCTAATCAAATTGTAAACTATAGAATTACCATAATACTCTCAAAATAATAAATTAAATGTCAATTTCAATTAAAAACCTTACGGATGAGACTTTTTTACTAATATTTTGTTGTTCAAGAAGAACATTTGTTTCAAAAATTGAGAAAAAAATGTTACAAGAAATATAATTCAAAAGAACTTTTTGTAATTAATTCAAATTAGTTAAGAAGGCAATAGTTACACTAAAATCAACGTTAGTTACATTTCATGCTCGATGATTCTTCTTCAACCAAAAAGATAAACACGTTTAGTTTATAGATTCAGAACTATAATTTAAAACCATTCTCAATTTACATATTTTTGTAAGAGAACACTATAACAAACCACGAATTATAATCCGAACCATGACACAAATCCTTGCTCTAAACACACCCTAGAGAATTTTGCTTCATCAAAATAGACTTTTTCTTTTTCTTTTTTTTGTGAATAAAAGCTTCAATACAAGGGGCAAAGGCCAAGGTAAACATAACAAAAGCAGAAGCTGGTAAAACAGATAAAAAATAAAAATTAAAAATTAAAAATAAAAAAAAACTCAAGCCTGCTAGCAGATGCTAGCCACCAAGCTCAACATAGCCTCATACCCAGGCAAAAACCTACTTCGGAGACTGAAAGAACCAATCAACACAAACTATGAGCCACGGCATTTCTCGTCCTACAAGTCCAAAGAAATAGGCACGGCAAGGAAACACGAGCAGCTGAACGAGCATCCTCACAGTTTGTGTTGATTGGTTCTTTCAGATCTCTTATACACAAACCCATTGGAATCCAAACACATTTGAACTATTAGAAATTTTACAGATCTGAACTCAAATCATCTTAAGTTTCTTAACTCAAAAAATGCAAATGAACGAGCCTTTATTCATTTTGTTTGACTAGTTATCAGACCTCTCAGCTCTGGCAATTAGCCATTCAAAAGTGAATTAGTCAGAGGGTGAGTTTCAACAACTTTCCTGCATTTCAATCCCCTGAACCAATTAATTTGCTAGCTTTTCCGTTGATTTTTTTGGTGTTTTGAGATATAACCTTAATGAAACATCACCAAGAATAGAAAGTGGAGAAGTCTATTACTTCAAGCTTTTTATAAACATGCTAGTCAAATGATACAGATTAATGCCAGTCTGCAATTCCCCCAAAAGTGGTGGACCCCACTCCTTCCCATACCTCACTAAACCCAACTTCTTCATTGTCAACACCCTCCATGTTGTTGTCCCACCAGCCACCACCATTTGCATCTGCAACCAAAAAGTAGAGAACCAAAATGTCCCAAGCACCATTAGGAGAGAACAAATGTAAACGAATTTTGAGCAAGTTAATCGAAATCGATTCGAGTTTTCCTCTTCAAAGTCAAAGATGTAACCATATACTAACAGTGGTTATATGCAGTTTTAAGATTCTCTCTGTTAGTAAGGTCCCCGTCCCTTCTTTGCTGCTTAAGCTTCAAATTCCCTCCAAGAACTGCAAAATGCTTTCGGGGAATTTGTCTCTCATGCCCACCTATGCATTCAGATCTAGAAGATCAAATAAAGGTTGTGACTTAAGATTGAAGCAAGAAAATGATACAAACTAGGAGAGAGAGATGGTAATAGTTGGCTCCAGTTAAAAACTTCTCTTTTGCAATCTCGTTATAAGTAACTAAACAGCCACTCTACATATGCTATGGTCAAATCATTCTACCAAAAAGAAACCAGCTTGGTTGCCCATCTTTTGCATGGAATGTACATTCTATCAATCTTATTTTCTTCATTCATTGGTTTCAAATTTGATGGGAGATATGTGATGTTGTTGCAAAACCGCATCTTTCCTGCAATTTGGTTGAAAACGCATATTTGCATAGATGAACAGAATTATCATCATTGCTTGGTCAATCTTCTATCCTGCTTGATAATGAGTGCAGACAAAAGCGAAGGAACTCCAAATTCTAGTGACAATCTCACATAAAGGCATGCAAAGTGATTACAATCCCTCATTGTTATCACCAATAGAAATCAACAATAAGGAAAAACTGAAGCCATTTGTAACAGTAAGAAAACAATGCTCTAAGTTAGTGAGAGATTTAAACCAGGATTACAAAGTACAAACCTTCCAAGTTCTTCCTCTTTCTCAATCCTCGAACTATGGTTTTGTCGCAATTTTCTGCTCCGCCAGCACTGCTTGGGCCAACACAATCTCCTTCTAATGTACCACTATGCTTGAACTGTTCAAGAACAACTTTCTCAACAACAGAATTCAAGTCTGCTGCCCCTCCTTTCTTTGCCTCAGCTTGCTCATCAATGGACCCACCACCGCTCTCTCTCGGTCCCAACAAAGACGAAAAGGGTTTTGATTTCCCCTGCCCATAATGACACCAAGTCAATCCTAAATTACAAACTAAAAAACTAGAGGATACTTAACAAGTAAATCATCCAGATGGTCCAGTCAAATGTTGAAATTCTATTTATATAAAAAAATAAAAACTCTACCGTTGACCTTGAGCTTTTTTTTTTCTTCTTTTTTTCTGCGTGCTCTGAAAAAATAATGATCATTAGTGCCATTCCGTCCCTAATCTCCTTCATCTAGAGGAGAAATTCCTAGATTCACTAATGGCGCGGTAAAGACTTAGACACGATTCTACTCAAAGAATCAGCTCAATTTCACTGCCACAAGCCGACATCGTTAACCAAGCAAAAACCTCAAAACGGGGCTCTAGAGTATCGAACCTTAAACCCATCCCGAGAGAGGAGAAAAAGAAAAAATCCAAACCATCGCACCACTCCATTAGTGATCCACCGCGAGCTTATTGAAAAAACGATGATTTGGCTTAAGTCAAGGTGCCAGAAAATTGCTTGACATTTCCATAAACAAACAATATTGAAAACTGATTCAGCATTTTTCCCCCTTTTTCTTAGTTAGCATTTGTTATCGTTTAAAGCCAAGATAGCCTAAACGCTGAAGTCTGAACCAAACCCTGAAAAAACTACATCAAGCACAAAATTCTTCTAACTTCATCCCCATTTCGGTTTCTATTTTCTAATTCATTCAAAAATACTAAATCGTAAAAAAACCCTAATCCGATTTCTCTTATCTTGCCAAAAGCAAAGAAATTGGGTACACAAAAGAGTACTTTCACCGTCCCGGGAAGTCCAGAAGTTTCGTTGAGCTTCCGTTGGAGGAAATCCGAGAGCGAGCCCTTCTCCGAAGCTTCGTTTTTGGTCTTATCTTTCGAAGCCTTGAAACTATTTCCGTACATATTACAAAAAAAAAAACGAAAAATCAAATTGAAAAGAAGAAAGTAAGGAAAAATTCAAAAGTTTGCATTCTGTTTTTCTCTTACGGATTGGAAGAGGGACTTAGAAACGAAGAGGCGATAGACTGCTGACCAAATGCTCTGAAAGGAGTTTCCTTTGGTTCCATTTCTGTGCTTGAGATTTCCGAGTTTGAAAGAAGAGGTCTCTTTTCCTTTCTCTCTCTCTCCCCTAAATTTAGCGCCAAAACCCAAAAGTCCGAAAAATTTAGCGCCAAAACCCAAAAGTCCGAAATTTTTGTGAAAAACTAGTTGTGTGTGGGGCACTTCGACGCATATACCAAATCAGGCATACGCTCCGTTCTTTTCGCTAATTCAAATTTAGAATTTGAGTTTTGTTACAGTAAAAAGTTCTTAAAAACAGTCACATTTAATTTTTTTGCTACAGTAAAAGATTCTCACACAACATCACATTTGAACTCAAATTAAAAACTCGAATTAGCGAACCGAACGGGCCCACTTTTGTCTATTTTATTATCGAAATACTTAAAATATCTTTTGTGTGTTTTTAACGCTACCTTTATCCCTTGTGTTTTTTAAAATCGGTTAAATTGTGAAAAATATTGAAACTATCCTAAATAATCTGTAATTTGTAGGAAAAAACCCAAACGCCCTCGTAGGTAGCCAACACAGCATTTATGTCCCTCTTATATTAGAGTTTTTTAAGTTTTAAGATTTATTTCATTTAATATTTTAGTTAAATAGTGTATGAATGGTATTTAATATAGATCGAAAAAGGTAGAGTTACACTGTTACGGAGAGATAAAAAAAGTGAGAGGGAAA